GAGAGAGAGAGAGAGAGGATACTTCCGTCGATAGGATGAGCAAAATCGAACGGATCTCCCGCTAGAACACCGGCATACTTTTTTTTATTCTTCTTTTTTTTTGTGACGGAAATATACATCGCCAATCCACCTCCTATTCCCCCCAGGGCCTCGTGTCCGACTGCATTTCACGGGCCTGCACCGTTCCTCGTACCCACGGCCCTAACCCCCGCTTTCGTTTCCGGTACCTGCATTGGTTGCAACAGAAAGACATGGGGTTAAGAAGAAAGAAGCCAATGCTCTTATCCTCGTGAGCTAGGAGAGATTCCAGCGAAACAGATATCAACCTCCCTTCGTGGCACTGAAGCGCAGCATTACCCAGCGCGACCCGAAGCCTCTAAATGCACAAGTAAGATAGTCGGCTGAAAAGTTTTCTGAAAAAGCAGGTTCAAACTTTTTGAGGTTGTTTTCCGTCACACTTTTTCTGATTCGTGTTCTTGAGAAAATGGACGGTCAAAGGTCTTCTGAACTCAACCAACCATCACTCTCTCTCCCAGACAAACTTGAGAATCGAAAATGAGTCAATTTGGGTTCTTTGCATGAACAGTGCCCCACCGGACCAAAATGGTTGGCGGCACCAGCAATAAGAAAATGAAAACACGCACTGTGGCGGTCCTTTTTTTTTGGCGCACAGGGGGTAACAAGCGCCTTGGGAAAAAGAGGCTCGGAGCTTGTGGTAGTTTCAAAAGCAATAAAAGATTATGGTTTAGACTTAGGCTGTTTTTCCGGGCGCCGGGGCACTCAACTTCTGCCCGGATACAGGCCTGGGTGTCCGGCCGCGCATGACCGTCGGGCAGGGTTCCGGGCAGCCCCAGCACAAAAAAATAAAAATAAAAAAACGAAAGTCAAAAAATTCCAGGAAAAAATATGTTGTGTAGAAATGCAATACAAACAACTTTTGAATTCGTCACCGAATCGGAGATAGAAAAGAAAATAACAACATCACACCAAGGCACCCCCCTTGAAACACCCTTAGCCCCTTTAAAACAAATCTATATCCCCCTTCCCCCCCCTTGACATCCAACTCTCAAAAAATGAAAAGAGCTCCGATTTGGGGTCCTCTGGGAGAGCGCAGAAAGGAGAAAAATCAAAAACAAAAACAAAAACAAAAAAATAAAGAATTGCACTCCCGGGTGCCCTGCCGGGCATGAAAATCATCCTAGCGTTTGGCTGTGCTTTCTCTCCTTTGTCTGGAAACTTTCTCGTACCAAGCCTTCAACGTATCTGTCGCAACAGTAGTCAGAACCTTTTTGCGGCAGATTGAAAAAAGGATGTCTTTTTTTTTTTTTTCCTGGGCCAATGGCTATGTGTCTAGCATGCTTCTGCAGATCAGCTTGCAATTGTATCCTTGACTGTAAGACCGGTCTTCTTTTTTTTTTTTTTTTTTTTAACACACCCCCGTTAGTGTTAGTGGTGCTGATAAGAGCAGACACCGCTAACACCTGGGGGGGAGACCAGTCTCTTACAATTGATTGTGGGAGTTCTCTCAGTTGAGGAGAGAACTTTGGCTATCATGGCCTGCCAGGGTGTCTGGGCCGGGATTTCGAACCCGGATGCGAGGACATCAAAACCTTCGATGTCCAAAATCCATTTTCGTTTTTATGTTTTCAGTTGCATTAATCTGGAGGTGACACTAGCCGAAAGTTGTTTGATTTGGAGCAATACTTGCAAGCGCATGCCGTTTGTGATTTTCCGTACGTGCGGCACACTGCCGGAGTGGAAGATGCGTTGACACAAAAAAGAATACAAGGAGCAAAGAAGCCAAAAATTCCAAAAACGTATATGATATTAGGTTTTGCTTTCTCTCTCTTTACGATGTTTACGTCCTTTTTTTTTTAACTTAAAAAAGGAAATTGCACCAGAATCTGCACGATGGTGCATGTGTGCAGCGCATGTGCAGTTGCAAGTATGTTTTGGAATCCTCGACGAGTTTTTTTTTTTTTTTAATGTCCCAATGGACCATGGATCAGATGTTAAACTGATCAGAGCAGATACTACACTCGGATCTTTTAGCCGAAAGGCCAAGGAAGGTATACTCTACAACGTTTTCTTTTTCCAGATTTTTTTGAAGTTCTTTATGCGAGCTTGGACCTACCCATCCCAAGCCTGCTGTCCCGGATGTCTGGCCGGATATTCGGGACAGCTAGGCGGGCCAAGAATCTATCTGGGCCGGTAGCTTCGGTAGACAGACCATTCACTGAATAATCGAGTGACACAGGAATGACTCGTGTGTGAAGTGATCGATGAATCTGCTGCTAATGATCTTTCTCTCTCCTTTGTCATTTTCAGGGCTGATTGCGTGCCGCAAAGCCGGGAGGCCTGTAGCAGAAGAACCATTTGAGGTTATTGGGGATGCACATGGAGCCTATGACGGCCCAAATCAAGGCCGTATTCGCCAGTTGTCTAAGGTATGTGTAATTCCGATTACCTTTTGTTTATGTGAAATCCCTGCATGTCTCCGTCTAAAGTTTAAAACCTCTTTTTTTTCAGGTGACCTTTAATGTCGGTTTGTGTACTCGTTTTTTTATTTCTCAAAAATTTCTGTATTTTTCTGATTTTTTTTATTTTTTTTTCCATAAAACAGGTTCTTATGGCCCTGGGCGGCTTGTATATCTCACTTTGAATATTTGCAATGTTTCCCTAGACTTCAGTGAGCGTTTGTCCCGACACATTTTTTTAGCTTTAGAAAAACAGAAATCATGTTATTGGTCTGAATAGCAGTATGGTCTGACTGGACTGGATTAAGCAATTACATAATAAGATCCCTGCAAGTCTGAACAACATCGCATTGCCTTCCTGGGTCCGATTAAATGTACTTTGCGTATGACTCTCACCGGAAGACCCGAACCGTCAGTGATCTCATACCGTCAGTCTCGTCCATGTTGCTGACTGTCCAATGCTTTAGACCTTGTGCAATACTGGGCTTCATTACTATCCTCCAGCATCTAATGGCAAATATGGCTGAGTTTGTTATGGAGTTCAGTTTGTGTGTGCCATCATCATCATCATCATCATCATCATCATCATCATCATCATCATCATCGTCAGCATTATCATCAGTGCCATGATCCTTTTTGAAAGAGTTTGTGAGTAGAGTTTGGTTTATGTGTTTTAGGCGCCTTCATTGCTTGCTCGTCATCATCGGTGTCATCATCATCATCATTGTCGTCATCTTCTTCTTCTTCTTCTTCTTCTTCTTCTTCACCATCATCATCATCAGTGTCATGATCCTTTTTTATTGACTTTGTGAATTGGGTTTTGTTTATGTGTTTGTGCAGGCACCTCCGTTGCTTGGCGGTCTTCGCTTCTACTTGTGTGGGGAGTTCGGCCTGCCATCAAAGTCGGACATCTTAAGAATCGTCACTGCTGGTGGCGGAACAGTGCTTCCACAAACTCCAGAGGCTTGCGTGAAATTAACGGCTGATGGAGGTAAGAACCAAGTAACACTGTGTTTTCCATTGCTAACCCAACAAGTATCATGTCTCAATCACCAATAGATGGAGCCCCCCCGGGGGAGACAGAGGCATCTGCTCGTATCAGCGCCCCTATCTCTCATATGGGCTGTTTTTAAGTATCATGTCTCAAGGAATCTCACCCGAGAGATGGGTGTAAGTGCTGTTTTTTTCTTCATGATTGAGTGCAATGGGTTGATCATAAAGTTACATAAGCAGAATAGAAAAAGTGAAAGAAACTACAGCGTCAGTGTGACGGACGTACAGCAATGATGCACGTGTTCTATGAAATTGCTTTGGCTCGCAGCATATGTTGGACTTGACAGATGGATCATGATCATTAGTCATCACAACTCAACAGTAGTTGATCGATGACTGAGGGTTTGAAGCAACTTATACTTGAGGAATAGGAATGCAAAGAATGATACCTTTCGTGGCCCTTTGGCTATTACAGGAATGTGAAGAATGATGCCTTTCTCGGCCCTTTCGCTAAGGATCAAGTGTAGTATCTGTTCTGAATCTTCTGACCAGTCTAATGATTTTTAATGAAAAAAAAAAAGGGAATGCAAAGAATGTGAGAGAGTAAAAGAGAATGAAGAGGCATGGCAATGCTTTCTCTTGCATCGCATGATGCTTCCCATGCATGGGACAGAGGGGAAGTACTGGGCAGTATTTCGACGCTTTCTTTGGCATCACATCATGTGGAAAAGAAAGTGGAAAAAAAAGCATCATGCTTTCTACGCACAGGGGGAGAGGAAGTGTGGAGTGGTATCTTGATGCTTCCCATGGGGAGTGGGGGAGATGGGCAGTCCCTTTTTTTTAAAAACACATCACACATCCCCCATCTGTTGTGGGGGGTGGTGGCAAGGTTTTGCTTATCGCCGGCAAGCTTGTGGCTGAGCATTCAGTTTCGAGTGGCATGACATGTCATGTTTAGTGTGGAGGGGAAAGGGGGAGGAGCCTGAGTGGCATTGCGGCTTTTAGATGGCGGCGAGGCGAGGGGGAGTGTAGCGTGGAGTTACATTTACTCTCTGTGCAGATGAGGGAAAGGGAATGTCATGCAGCGTCACACAGTCATTGAGCATGCCGGCGAGCATGCAGTTTCAAGTGGCATTGCAGCTTTCAGAATGAGTGCCATTGCAGCTTTCAGAATGGTGGGGGTGGTGGCAAGGTTGCTTACGGCCGGCAAGCATGCGGCCGAGCATTCAGTTTCGAGGGGCACGATATGTCACGTTCATTGTGGAGGGGACATGAGGTGGAGCGTGAGTGGCATTGCAGCTTTCAGAATGGCGGCGAGGCGAGCGGAGGGGAGTGTAGCGTGGAGTTGCGTTTACTTTCTGTGCGGAGGAGGGGAGGGGAATGTCATGCAGCTTCACGTTGTCGTGTTTGTGTGGGGGAAGCGGGAAGCGTTGACAAAAACGATGGAATGGCCAGTGTCCAGCAGCGTTGCACTTTGTGCTTTCTCTCTGCAGGGGGGGAAGGACAAACAGTGTTGGGTAGGATTGCAACTTTGACTGAGGACAACATCAAAATTCCTAAAGAAGCTCTAGATCTGAAACAAGTTCAAAAAACAAAAGAACTTTAAAGAAGTTGAAAAAAATAAATAAATAAATGAATGCTCAGTCCTTTGGGACATCCGTTAAATTCGGAACGATACAGAGAAGATTCGCATGGCCCCTGCGCAAGGACGATCATGACACGCATAAATCGAGAAATGGTCCAAAAAAAAAATAAAAAAAAATAAATGAATATTCAAGTTTTTAATGAATTGCAGTTCACCCCCTTTTGTGTGTTTTAGGTCCCCCTGCATACACTTCGAGACGCCGATTGGACCACCCTACACCCTTTTTTTAAGTTTTTGGGGACCAGTTTGAATTTGGGCTCCATTTGTTTGGCAACTTTGGATTTGGACTCCATTTGACAAGTAAAAAAAAAAAAAAAAAAAAAAAACGAAGACATAACTAAAAGCTGTCTTCCTGAGTCTTTTCTGGCTTGTCTGGATTTTCCCCGACAGGTCATCCAGGTTGTGTAGAGCACGAACCTAGTCCGGTTCTTAATTGTTGTTCGGATCTCTTTGGATCCGAAAAGAGACTAAGAACAGAAAAAAGAAAGTGCGGATTCATTGCAGTAGCTGAGTCTCTTCTTCTTCTTCGTCTGTTACTCTGTTTGTTTGCAGGCAAAAGTGCAGAATCCATCCAGCCAACCCTCATCATCCTTTACAATGGCAGCACGCCTCCTATGCCTCGACAATCTCAGCAGAGCAATGTTGATGCCGCCAAGCTCAGTGCGGAAGAACTTCAGGCATGTCCTCCATTACAGAGATGGAAAGAGGCTCAAGCTCTGGCCTCCGCGGCTGGGTCTGACGCTGTCGCTGTCTCTCATATGTGGTTGCTGGACACAGCGGCATTGTGCAAGCTCAGAGAGACGACACTTTACACTGCTCCACCAAGCCTCTCCTAGGTGCCAAGCTGCTGTCCACAGCTGCAAGGGATCACATGTTCTTGCAAATATCTTCATTTTTTAGGTAAGAGGCTTGCCTACGTATGTTGTGGAGCCTGTGACAGCAACCGCCGTTATTCGCAACGAGGAATGTTTTTATTAAGTTTTTTTTTTTTTAATGGCAAGCCTATCTTTGGTTCTTTTAAAAAAGAATACAACGACTGACTCCTACGATCACCTATCGAAAATCGAACTTATTCTCTAACTACAGCTAACGCTCCTTGGAGCTGTTGGTTCGCAGCAGCAAGCGTTGCGCACTTCTGGTATGATCTGTTTTATGCTCATGTTTAGCTTTGCAGAATGGAATGGACATGAGCGTTTTTATCAGACTTGTGATGTGACTAGTCGCACCCTTTTCTTCATTTCCATCATTGCTGTTTCCATCATTGACAGAATTTTCAAATGAGAATTATGTGAATGGCAACCCCGTTCTCAATGTCCCACATTATTATGTTTCTTTCTCTCAATGCACATTCTTTTTCGCGCACTGGATGGACCTCCGGCGATATCCGTTTTTGTGCGTTGTGTTCGCTTGCGCTGTCTTGTTCCGTTGTCGGGCGGCTGCCTCCCCCCAAGCCCGACACCGTGCCAGGTTCCCGGTTTTGTCAGGAGTTGGGTTCTGGATCTCGCTTGTTCCTGGACCTTTGCCGCATTTTGTTCGAGGGTTCGATGACATCAGCCACTCAGCTTGCTAGTTCTTTATAGGCTTGCACAATTTGCCAATCGGAATCCGTGACCTGCGGGCTCCATACGAAAAGCGGACAACACATTATCAGTGAGAAACGAACAGAGATTGACGTTCTAACCTTGCAACTGGCAGCAGAAAGAAGGCGGTTTGTGGAGCTGGAAATTTGGAGATGCTATAGTGCTGCGGTACCTCTGGGCTGACTAAAGTCTTATTCGAGTCTCTTGCGCAGTTAGCTCCTCTAGAATGTCAAATAGGAATCATGGAAGTCAGTTGGTGCGCTGTCCGTGTTTGTGTGTGTGTGTGCGTGTGCGTGTGTGTGGTCGTCGATAAAGAGGGCAACCGCCACAGGTTGCGGACAAAAGCGCTCACTGCAAAGATCCGGGGCCAATCGGACAGCAGCCTTCAAGATGCGTCTTCGCCCCTCGCGTTCGTCGGCTCGCCAGAGTCACATTTTAGGAGTCGGTCCGATTTGCTATGTGTGTCGTGTGTACGCGGCAAGTTCTTTCACTGCAGAGCTTAGTAGGATAGTGTTTCTCACTTTCTTTCAATGTTCCAATGTATTTCTTATCGCTTATCGTTTGCGTTCTTTGCCATATGTTGACATGTCGCCATTGTTCCCAAGAGGAGATCAGCTTGAAAATGGTGATTCCTCTTGTTAGAGTATCAGGCACATAGAGTTAGAGAGTTTGAGAGTCTAACACTTTTTTGAAGTTGTGATGTACTTCTCGTTGCGTATCCCATGTGGCTATGATTTCCAAGAGGAGATCAGCTTGAAGATTGTGACTCCTCTTGTTAGAGTATCAGGCACACAGAGTCAAAGAGCTTTTTTTTTCTTTTTTCTTTTTTTCAAGTGTCGAAACTTGGCCAAAATGTGAAACGGTATATAGAGTATTAGGCACATAGAGTTTGAGAGCTCAACACTTTCAGAGTTCTGATGTATTTCTCGTTGCGTATCCCATGTTTCTATGATTCCCAAGAGGAGATCAGCTTGAAGATTGTGACTCCTCTTGTTAGAGTATCAGGCACACAGAGTTTGAGAGTGTTTTTTTTTTTTTGTTGAAACTTGGCCAAAATGTGAAACGGTAAAGATTGATTTGCCATGTTTTCATGGAATTTGTGACGGTTTGTGTGACGGTTTGTGTGGTGGTGTTGGAAGCACTGGCCTTGTAGGTTTCTGACAGATATTGGAATGGCGAGAGTTGTGGACCATAGATCTTCTTCTTCTTCTTTTTTTTTGACCTGCCCGGCGGGTCTGTTAGAGGAGTTGGTATGAGCGGCAGGTCCTTCTAGGAGGCCCACTGCCGGGGGCTCCGGTCTATTGGTGGGGAGCTTGGAATGACACTTGGGAGAAGGAGGCTGGCTAACAATGCGGATGAAGAGTAGAGGTTTTACTCAAATGCAGACGCAGGAGGACACCATTGCAGCCGCTGCCGCTCGCTTGTGCAAACAATACGCATGAGGCATCCTCACTTAAGTGATCCTTTTGGTTGTGATGTGATGCTGTGTCTTTTGTCCACACAGAGGAGTGCATTCAATGCGCAACAATATATCATCTAATGACATCCTATTGTCCACAGACGAGTCCTGACTTCATGGGCCGCTGTTGTGCCCAGTTCATCTTCAATCAAAAATATGGACCATTGATTTCTGTTTGGAAATGCTCTCCTCCTTAGCGTCCATACTATTCTTGGACGTATGTGGATGCCTTCGATGAACGTCTCCCATTTGGATACGCACCTTTTTCTTGGATCTTTTGAATGATATGTGAACCCTAAACCACATGAGTGCGACAATGTGGCCCCTTGTTTGCTGGTCTATGATTGAAAAGGCCAAAAAGATAAAGAGAGTAACCATGGTTGCCTCACACCGCTAGTACACGGGCCCATTGTTGTTGCCTTTTTTTTTTTTTTTTTTTTTTTAACAGGTCCTTATGGCCCTGGCTCCGTTTCCATTCTGGGGAGCATCAGTCCGGTTCCTATTCCACAGGCAAGTCAGAATAAAATGATACATCAAGGAGTACTCTCATGCTTCCTTCCGTCTGGCCGAAGGAACCCTGATCAGCATTGATTACTCCAACAACGTGGAGGATTGACTGTCAGCTTGCCCTGCTTACACCTTTCCTCTCACGACTACTATAAGATCCTGTCAGATAAACCATGCTCAACAAGAAAGGTCTGAGGGGCTGCAACTGTTGTCAATGCTGTCTGAACCCCAAGTCCCGCCATCAAGTGTCATGAAATCCTTATCATTCTATCCCCTGCTGGTCTTGTTTCTGTCCAAAACCTCTGTCCTGAACCCTAAACCCTAAAGAAAGGGTCTAGCCCCTTAAACAACCCCTCTGTCCCGCATCATGCCCTAACCCCCCTCATTTTCTGATCATGCATATAAATCAATTCCCTTTTCCTACACCCCCCTTGATATCTATCAATCGCCCTCCGCCCTGTTTCCTTTGGTGCAGTCCAGCTCTAGCTCCATCCATCTTGAGCAGTTACGATCTGCCGAAGACCGCTGTTTTAAACTGTTTCCACTGGCCAAAACCCTTAGACCCTAATGCCCCTGAGCTGTTATCCGATGGTTAAGACCCTAAAACCCTAAACCCTCCCTCATTCTTTATCGTGATAACCCTTCTATGTTGTACCGCTTCCTGATGACTGTGAACCAAGGGTACTCTTTGCGTTCTCTTTTCCGATTGAAAGGTGTGTAACCTGTCCCTCGTTGGTGTGGGGGAGTATCTGTTCTGTCCTTAGTCAGCAAGTGTGTCAGCTCTTGTTGCCCTCTCCCTTGTCCGGCCGGGATCCGTTTTGCAGCGATCATGACAGACCTGTGTCCCTTCCTCCCAACACCGATCTTAATCTTCCTTACCTCTCCTCTTGGCTCTCGTTCCTGTTGCCTGGTATCCCTTACTCCCTTCAACTCAGCTGCCTGTCTGTTGTAGGCCCAGTCTGGGTTCTCCTGTCTTTCTCTGAATTGTGCCAGTCTGTCCAGTAAATCCGGCCGTTCCGTAGCTCAACCACCTTACTGTCCACTAACCACAGCTTTGTGAACTTTTTCCTAGTCTTTTCTCGCAGATCCTCGTCTTCAGGCATCGACTATCGTCCAAACCCTGAACCCTAATCCTTCATCTTGATATAATTTGCTGGAACCTCCAGATGCTCTTGGCTTGTCAGCTCTAGTGGACTGCTGTGGGTCTTGAACCGTTTGCAGTCCGGACTGCAGTCCGGACTCCCTGGTTGTTCCATCCTGTTTTCCCTTCCCTTGTCGTGATCAAGTCTTCCACTCCCCCAATCCTATCCGTCTCTCAGTCTTATAGTTCGTGGTGCAAATTTCCGTCCAAGGGTCTGGCTACCTGTTTGTAACCCAGTCTGTCTTCTCCGACGTGATTCCGAGATGTGTCATCCTTTCCATTGTTTTCAGTCTTCCTGTAGAATCGGCACCTTGTCATTCATCCGCCGTAGCCTGATGACCTTGGAACTATCCGTTTTTGCTGGTCTTTGTCTTCCGGCCTTGCTCGCTGTGCTTCCCGCCTTTTGCAGAAGATTTCCGCTTGTATCAAGGACCTCATTTCCGCCCACGCGTTCTCTCTTGGTTTAGAGGTTCCTTCGATAGTTCTGCAGCCTCTTTATGTTCCAGCTGACCTCCAGCGTCAGTCTCGTTCCAGTCTGCGCCCTTAGCTCTTAGTGTGTTCGTCTTCTGCCCATGGTTGTTTGGTTCCCTGCCCAAAACAGAGGATATCGGCTTGTAATATCGCTTCCGTCTCAGCTCATACATTTTCCCGTGTGTTGGATAATCCTTTGCTGGTTCTGCTTCATCCTTACTTCCATATGACCCGCAGTGCCACCTTCCTGGTACACTCAAACCAAAACTTTCTGCCTTCTGGAGTTGTTGCTAAAAATTAACTCGCTGCCCATCCGAAAAAAACTCGCCTCGGGCCTACCAGACCACAATGGCTGGGGGCGCCAGACAAAGAAGGAAAGGAGTGCACCGCTGGCGATTAGGCAAAGCTTGGTTTGCAGTGCAGGGCCTCCAGGCCCGGGTGTACCGGTGTTTTCTTTTTACCCCTTCTTAAATAAAGCTGGCTTCTCCTCATTTATGGTGGACTGTATTTTCTAAAGCTACTTCTCTGAGTCTCTCAATATTGTTTTCTGCCTCACACTAGAGTTCAACTTGCCTAGGCTGCCACAAGATGAATTTTCAATCTATGTTCAAAGGGGTAGACACCACATTTTCTACTCTACTCTGAGGAGGGAGTACTACCTAAATCTTCCCAAAACAGGAAAGTCACACTTTAAATCAGTATGATACCCTGTGTGGCACTGAGTCATGCTTGAACAGTGATGCGTTTATTTTTGTTTTTGAGCATTTGATTTGTGCTTGCTTTGTTTGGCGGAAATTGAACCATAGTAGAAGAGAACCGCAGAGACAGCCGTTCAGATGATGAAACAGGTAAGAGAGTTGAGGACCTCATAAAGAACGCGCGAATGGCCTTTTGGCTGGTATGTCGCCGAGAATCTGGACAAGATGGACCAAAAGAAAAGAAGAAAAGAGAAGAAGAAAAGAAAAGAAGAGAGGCTGTATAGCCATATGATCGTGCTTTGCTTTTTTGTCTTTTTTGGCAGGAGGCAGGACATGTTGGTTTTGTCTATATTGCGGTGTGCATTTTGTTTTTGTATTCATGCTTGTTCGCGCGATGGAAGGTTATTATCTCCCTGACCATTTTGGAAGCTTTACTTCAGTCGTTTTCCTTTTGCATCTATCTTCGTTTCTTTTCAATCGGTTTCTTTTTGCATCGCCTACTTCATGTCTGTTCTATCAGCGCCTCACTCCACTACGCTCCAAATGTGCAAAGTGAGAACGAATCCTCCGCTAGAACATCGAAAGATACACGGCCATAGTTTTTTGTCTTTTGTGCATCCGGAGAGTAGTGGAGCGAGACCCTCGTTCTTGTGTATGTTTCTAGGTTGCGCTCTACATGTAAACCACCAGTACCTTCCAAGCCGGCGTCCTAAAGCGTTTTTTTTTTTTTCCTGGCAAGCTGCCAAACCTCGTGTTTCAGATGAATGCACCAAATGGGCAGCAGTGATACCACGGGCGACCAGTCCTTCAATGTGCTCCCATTTCTCACATCACTATGATAGTCCAGCGAGCCCCAGTTCCTTGGATGAAGGGTCTTGATCCGCCCACCACATCTTTCTCTCTCTCTCTCTCTCTCTCTCTCTCTCTCTCTCTCTCTCTCTCTCTCTCTCTCTCTCTCTCT